GCATCAGCTCGATCTATGCCTACAAAAGTCATGCCGATCGACAAAGTATCCGAGCATCGGAGACAGCAGTTGGTCGGGCCCGCATGCGACCTTCCAACGCAGCCAGCCTATCGGTGACAGTTGTGGACTTTGTTCGCATGGACGTGGCAACAACCCCCACAGAAAGACGCAAAGCGTCTGCTGCGAAGGAGTTCCTAAAAAGTTACTGGTGCAAGCGCGTGGTCCTGCTGACGCGGGCAATGCATCCCTGGGTCACTATGCAGTATGTCAGCTTGTTTAGGTCCCATGTGGTCCGTGCCTCACTGATCATTCTGAAATTGGTGTCCACAGGGGCAGCCAACGCACTTTTTTTCGCGGCCTCCGCCGTGTCTACTGACTCAGCGAGAGACTGCAGGCCTCCGGAAAACTTTGGGGAACGCTTGCTTCGCGCTGGTGTTGTGGGCATACTCTCCGCTTGCATGAGTGACCTGCTGATCCTGCTGCTGGCCGCCGTCCAGTGGCGCCAGGTCATAATCCGGCACTGGACCGAGGAGGCAAAGAAGCGACAGCTGCGGAGCTGGCGTTGGCGGCGCCGTTTCTTTTGGTTGATCTGGTTTGTGGACATGGGTATGTCGATTCTCTACATATTTGGCTTCCTTGCAAACGTGAGTGACACGGATGGTTCGAAGTGGCTGGAAAGTACAGGGATAAGTCTGCTGCAAGACCTTCTACTGAAGCCCCTCTACATGGCTCTTATCTACGGAACTGTCGCAACGATGGTTCTGTGTTGTAGCCCGAGTGTGGGGAACGAGGTCGTGGGTCAGTGGATGCAGCGAGACGAGGAGGACGCTAGCAGAGCCGACGTCCAAGCGAGGCCGGAGTCTCATTGTCTCAGGCCGGTGTGTGAGTGTGATGCGGATGGCGAGATTGATGAAATCTATATCGATACGCTCTGAAGTAACACGGAGTTTACTAGTTTATTGGCAGTAGCAGCGTTCTGCCTGGCCTGAATTCACAGGGTTTTTGTACAGTTTTGGCATGTTCGAGTCACTGGAAGGACTCTGTGTTGTGGTGGTGCCTCGAAGTCTCCCCAGCACTTGTCCGTAACGACTCCTGTTTAGTCGTAGCTTCACGAGAAGTGTGGACGTGGCCCAAGCCTGCCAAGCCTACAGCGGCACGTGGAGCCACCAATACGCAATTAGTCAACAGAGCAGCCAAGAGCTTGCGGCCGCCTTTGGCAGCGGTGTGCACGGGTTGCTTTCCCCTGCACAAGTAGCACCTGTTTCCATGAACCGTATCGTACACCGTCGTACACCCGATATAAGCCCCGTGCAGTCTTGTACCTGTGTTTTTTCGGATGAAGCGTGATACCGGGAAAGTTCCGGACATGGAGCAGGTCTTTACAAATGTTTAAGCAGCCCGTGGTTTCTGACCCGGAGATAAAAAGGGAATTTTGCCGGAGGCCTTCTCGCCGGGATTGTCCAGCTTGTGAAAGCCGAACTCGTGTTGGCATGTGGGCATTGGGAGGAGCCGCCACAAGGCCGTCTCGGACGTGAAGTTGGTCTTCGGACGCCGTGGTCTGGTTCAAGGCCCGCCCCACGTGTCTGTTTCTTTTCTGCACCTTTCCGAACTCCACGGCATTGCGTTGCCCCCTTCGCTCGGCAAAGTTTTACTCGCTCATTGTCTTTTTGGCATCCTTTCATATCTGTTTGGTCGACTTAAAGATCGACAGGAAATCGGATGCTCCTTTCCCGACCCTCGGGGTTCACGGTGGCCGGTTATCTCTCATTCCCGTTGTCTGCCATTTGGGTGGCCAAAGCCTTGTGGAGGGCGTATGCAAGTGAGACTTTCTCACATTTGGTGGACTTGAGGTGACAAGGCAATTTCTCATCGATCTGGTTCCAGTCATAGCTGTTGACTCCCGCCGGCCATGGCCCCAAACGGATCTGGATGAGGCTGAAGGCTCAATTCGAATCGTTCAGTTAGTTGCAGTTTCACGCTTTTGAAGCCAATCCGAAGCCTCGGCAAGGGCTGATCAACCATTTGCTGGAATCGTGCGGGAACCTGGATGCTGCTTGTTGCAGAAAACGCCAGCAGTGACAGCCTCTGTTGCTCTCAGGTAGCTTGCATGTGTGCGGCCCGCATGCGATAACCAAGACCACAGATTTGCCTAGTAAAGGGGCCGGACCTGACATGACCTGACGGCTTGAAGTTGTGTGGAGTTGAGGAGCATGGAATGGGTTGGATAAAGCTTGAAACGGGCACCCTTGTTGAGGCCTTGGGCCTCCGATCTTCGCAAGGGGATTCGGATCTCTTCTTGACAAAGGGAAGAGGGATTCATTGGATCGGTGTTTTCCCAAGGCAAAAGGGATGAGGAAGCCGAATTGCATGGTGCCCAGGAAATCTTTCTGATTTCGGTGTGGCCGCGAGCACCATTCACGAGAGTCTGGGCGGAGGCGCCCCTGGCCTCCATGGGGCTAACTTGCAGGAGCACCTTGTTTGCGTTGGAAATCAGAGCAACGGTATAGCCTCCGGACTCGCGCGTGTATCATTCGTTCCATGCTCTCCTAACCCGGCAGGGTTGGGCAGCTCCGGCACAACTGGAACATCCGCGTCCGCTGCCTGGTACCCCGCGAGGAAGGGAGCGGTGCGAGACCGACCAGGACGGCGGGTCTTTTGGAAGCTATTCGTGAGCGTTTGCCGTGTGCCCTTTTTTTGAAGAGGGACTGCTTCCAAGCTGCTTAGCTTCCGATCGGTCCTATCGTCTATGGGAAGCAGATGCAAGGACCGCACCCTACCACAGCAACAGCCATCTTGCCAAAGCCCCTGGCAGAGAAGTATCTTGTGAGCCGCGCGGCTGCACTGAAACCCTGCACAGCAGCTAGTCCAGATCTGAAGTTGTGAAAGCTTGATAAATGGTTGTCCTTTTTCGATCCCAATCGGCAACAAGAGAACAGTGTAGGTCAGGAAGGGGCCTTCCAAAATCGGGCTCAGGAGGTGGAAACCCCGCTCCAGCGATGGGCGCGGGCCACGAAGTGAGCCTCGATGAGGGCAGGTTTATCGGCGGCCTTCCGTCCCTTAACGGTTTAAGACTTTAAGAGCTTGCTTCTATACTTCAGGCCAGGGTTGTCAAGCCTGGTTCCCGACACAAGAGCGGATGAATAAAGCGCTTGTCTCGGAGCGAAAGCGACAAAGGAGTTGCGGAGCACACCGCTCGCAAACCGTAGCTCCTGTTCCCACAACGAGGCGTGACTGCCAAGGATGATCGCCAGGTTTCACTTGTTTGTGGGATGTTGCAGGAGGAGTGCGCGTGCACATGCGTGCACATGCGTGCACAGGAGCAAGATGTCGCTAGTCGGCTTTCCGACGTAGCCGGGATCACCAAGCCCGTGGCTTCTGCACTGCCCGGGAAAAGAAGAAAGTTGCTCGTCGGAGCCCAAGGAAACACCGGTAATTACGTGCGGTAGCTCATACATTGTCGAAGACCAGTGGTGTCGATGCGAAAGAATTTTGTGGGGGTTGTGTTTCTGGGAGGTGGGGGGTGCCAATGCTCCGTAGTTTGCAGGATGTCGCGTCTGAGGTTCTTTTGCAGGGGTTGGGCATATGTTGTATTTGTGGGTGTGTTGGGAGGCGGGTAGCGTCTTTCTCTGATGCTGTGTGCTTTTCCATCTTCATGCCTTCACTGTGTCAGGGTTGCAGATAATCATGCTTCTTTGAGGATCGATCTTGCTGGGCGGGTGAGAACATTCCTGTCTAATTTTAATGCTCAGCCGGTGTTTCGCTTCGCAGAGACCCCCGCAGTTTCTGATGTTTCTGTTGCGAGTAGTACGGGGGCCACATGAAGATGTGGCGTGCCTCGGTTTGACTGTGTAAAGTCCTGGTGGCTCACAAGGCAAATGCCCGAAGATGGGAAGCTCCTGCCTCCTGCTCTCTGTAAGGTAGTCAGGACACAGGCATACCTGAGTTATCCTGAGTTTAATCATGTCTCGACCGCCGGGAGCAGTAAGAGCCGAAGCTGTCAGCAGGAATCTTCACCGGGCCCGACGAAAAGTGCGCGGATCTTCTTCAGCCACAGAGCCAGGGTGACTCGACGAGTTCACACCCTTTGGCCGAGCCCGTTCCGACAGCCGGCATCACTCGGACCCGAAACATGACGATCATCGTCGTGTTAGCAACAGCATCAGAATTTTTTTTTGGGGGGATGGGATCTTAGCATAGCATAAATTATCTAGATGATTACAGATGGCCGATGACCATTGAAGTGGCTTGAGGTTTTACACTGCAAAGTGCAGGAGGCACCATCCCTCACCTCCATCTGGGTGTTCTCTTTGGATGGGTCTCTGGGACAAACGGTGGGCGGGTGAAGGCTTGGCTGTATGCTGCGTAAGGCTGCTTCTGCCGTGCCCAAGCATGGGGAACAAGCTAGGTCCGGAAGTGGGAACAATGGGCCGGGTTCAAAAATTGAGGGGTGATGGGAATGGAGGCAGATTCGTCGTGGTAGTGGAGGCGGTAGTGATAGTGCCAGTGGCAGGGTTAGTCTCAGTATGTGGTCGTGGTCGTGGTAGTGGTGGTGGTAGGTTAGAGGAGGGGTAGCAGCAGTAGTAGCAGGAGCAGTCGTGCCCCAAAAGTACGGAATATAACCTGATTATCACGAGCAAAATGCGGGCTTGTAGTTTTCCTAGAATCGGCGAAAACGTGCCGAAATTGTCAACTGACTTTTTTTTAATCCAGCACCGCTTGTCATCAAAAACGAGCGCTCGAGTTGCCGCAGCTGTTGGCCTGGGGCCAACATTGTGAGATTTTGTTTGGTTTGCTAACCCGTCCATGCCATGGTCACGAATTCTGGCTATGTCCTTCTGGCATCACTCCTGCCATGGATAGTTTTTGGCATTCGAGGGAGGCTGGATCTTTCAGATCCACCCGAGGAGGTGCCCAAGAATGACGATCGCCTGCAGTGCCTTCGGCAAGACAACTTGGATCTGGTTGGGACGAGGGACTTCGGCGAACGCTTCGTCGTGCGCATGGTCCTAGGTGTCCATGAAGACGACACAGACGACGACGTTTATCTTTTTGCTGAGAAGTTTCGGTTCAGAAGGCTGCAGGCCGAGTTGAAGCTAACGCGAACCGGTGCAGATGCTTTGGAGTTCGAGCTTGTGGGAGACGACTCTATCGGGAAGCATGCTGGACTCGGCCAAGCAGACCTCTGGCTCAGTGGCTTCGAGGTCGTCACTGGGAGCACCATCATCAGTTGGGCCTCGAGCCTCGCAGCGAACCGCGCTGCCCTAGCAAAGGGCCAGCACCTCTGTTCTTATGTGGAAATGCTCTGGCTCGATTTTGTACTCAGTAGGACTTGCTTCACAATTCGTTGTAAACTTGGTAGTGTGGCTACTGTTGATTCTCTTAGATGAGGAACGGCACGGTCCACTTCGATCTCGCCGGGAAGATACACGCAAAGAAGAAGAAGGGCAGCTGGGTGGCGGAGTTGTTCCAAACCAAGGCACGGGTGTTTGACCCAAGATCAGCCAAATCATGTCCGCCGTGTGAAGCTGTTTACTCCGCCGGCCCGACTTGACCTCCCTTCGTTGCACCACCCCTCGAGCCCTCCTGTAGAGTTCTAAAATGCACAAGAAAGAATGGCCTAGCAGGTGCGATACTTCAGTTTCAGCTTCGAGAACCAACAAATCCTGGACTTCGCGCTGAATCGATTTGGCCCACGCCCCAGCTTGCAGGATGTCAGGACGTCGTGAGGTCCTGATGTGCTCACCACTGTCAGTTCTGGACGTGTGGAGATTGTGTTCTTGTGTAGCGCCTTGACGTTTTTCTGCATCCCACACTTTGATCCCGACCTCCAGCAACCTTGGTGCATCTTCCATGGGATCGCTTCCCAATCTCCTTATCTTGTTTTGGGCCTTAGATGGAGCATTTCTGACTCTCTTCAAAATGACTCTCTTCAAAACTCAATGAGGCTTGGGAGATCGTGCTTATGCTTTTGCCCTTAGGGCCGCCCTGCGGATGGTATGGGAAGCTGCTTTGTTCCTTCCCTGCCCCGGCTGGTTATTAAATAAATAGACTAGACCCGTGAGAAGGTCCGGACTTCTTCGCCTTTGTGCAAGCATGGTGATCTAGCATCGGTATCTTGCCGCACCTGCCAGGTTCAGCTTCCAAGCTTCCCTGTCCCCAACCGAGGCGGCATAGACCAGTTGCTCTTGGATAACCTCTTTAAATTGGTCGAGCCGCGGCGCATCAAAAGTAGACCTCTGAGCACGGAAGTGACAAGCACCTCATGCAAGCTCGAATGACGCAAACTGACCTGCTTCCAGCACAGGCGCGATGAGTGACCCGTAATTGCTCAACGCTGATGCGTGTCCCCAACATGCAGCTCCTCCGCCCTCCCATCCCCCCGTCTGACAAAAATGGGATAGGAGTTACAATCCAAGGAGACGGCCATTCCTATCAACCTCCTGGCCTCCCTGCAGTTTCTGCCGCTGAGGGATGACCAACCACCTGAGCTCCAGGACGCGTTCCTGCCCAAAACGGCTAAGTGTTTGGTGTGCTCTACGCCGTCTAGGCTGTGCTCGCAACGGACCCCCTCCAGGACCTTTGGCTGAGCGGGCGGATGAAGTTGTCCGGGCAAATGACAGAAGCGACCGGGAGCACTGCTGAGCTGATGAACATTTGTCACGTGAGTTTTTTGCATGTGTGCCGTGTGCGTCATTTAGCAAGCGTGTGTGCACGTGGCTTCGAAGGTGAATGGCGATCTTGCGTTGGAGTCATCGTTTGACTTGACGGCACACACTGTACCTGCCAAGCCACGGCCCCAGTAAACTGCACCCTGACTCAGACCCTTGGTGATGGGAGTTGCCTAACGCAGGCTTCTGGACGTTCTGATCAAAAACTTCGACGTGGAACGCCTCGCGGAGGCAGGCAGAGTCTCTGTATTCAGTGCTGAACAGTCGAGGTGCGCGGGCTTTCGTTTTGGCTTCATTTAGCCGCTCCTTTTGGATCTAGAACTATTTCATTCGGAACGTTTTCTAGCGTTGTTTTTCCTGACGTAGGGCACGGTTGCCTAGAGGCTTAAATCATGTTGCGAGTATCAGCGTTTCAGACTACTCAGAGCGCTAAACTCCGCAGCATGCCGCGAATTTCAACCAGTCCAACACCGTCTGCCACTGTACAGCATTTGGAAGGTATTAGTCCAGGGGAAAGGCCAGGAACGCCAAACACCGTTTGAACCCGTGGATGCCCAGCTGAGTCTGCAAGAGTTGTGAGGAACTGGTGGGTGCTTTCCTGGCGGACCCCAAAGTGGCAAAGGCCAGTCTCCAAGATTCTAAGATTCTAAACGGTCCTGTGGCTTCGAGAGACCGTGCACATTTTCATTCTAGGGTGTCCTGAAGTACCGGCCGACACCCCAAGTCCGGATGTAATAAAAACGGGTGTCCTGAAGTGTAGTCTGGGTGGAGGGCCTTCCGGCTGTGGAGTTGGGCAGTTGAGCAGTTCGAAGGCCAGTGACTGCGGGACGTTCGCAGTCTGCACGTGTGAGCTCAGCATTTCGATCGTCAGCCTGGGAGCCTGTAAAGCACAAGGGGGAGAACTTCCGTCTGCAACAGACAGCAGGGTGCGGATTCAACAAAGAAGAACAGCCAGAGGTCGGCCGGTCAGGGCTCTCGTCATATTGCAGGCTGCCTCCTGCTTCATCTAGTTCCAACGTACTCGAGGTACGTAGCACTGGGCACCCTGCTAGTGTTGCAACACGCCCTTGTGGACATGAGCTGAATTGCCTCAGGCACTGCAAACTGGCGGCAAGAATTTGATCGAGAATCTGCACGAGTACAGCATCTCTGCGTGCAAGGGGTAGGGATGACAACTGGGGAAGTTCGTCTGTGCCATGGGTGGGAGACACTCACAAGACACAGGTGTCAGGACAGTCTGTTGCAGACGACGATGAACTGCCCAGGATTCGTGGTCAGCGACCAGCTTAAGTCCCTCACAGAGAAGGAGGCAGCTTCTTGAGTGCTAGGGCCCCAAAATTGCAAAGGCACACGCAGCTGGCGTTGTTGCCAGTTGGCTTCGTGTCATGGGATGGGTCAAGTCCCTCGGCCACCAGGGTCCCCCCATACTTTCTGGGGCATTGCAAGGACGTGAAACCTCTGCTGGTTTTCTGCGCGAGAAGTATGTTTCAGAATGTTTCCCTTAAGGACTCAGTTTGAAACATGCTTCGATTATGGTAGTCCCCGTCCTGGGGCCCCGGAGGTCCCTGGCCTCTTAGAGTCAGGGCCAGTCCCCCCGCCTACATAGCAGTTAAGCTGGAGAAAGAAAACCGGTGCACTCTGTGTCCCTGCTCTGGTGGTCTACAAGTCTCGTTGTAACCTTTGCAAAAGGCCATAGGAGGGAAAATCCCTCCCTAATTATCGGCGCCGCAGTCCTTATGTCTGCTGCGGGCACACCACTTTGAAGGTACGAGGAACTGAACGGTCCGCCTCGCTCTTTGTACCGCGCGGGTCTTTCTCATGTTGTCTGGTCCCAGGGGGCGTCTCGTATGTGCTGCTAGTAGCCCGGCTCCGCTTTGTGGTCTTCTTGTCCTTGTCTTTCTTCTTGTCCTTCTTGCGTTGCTGCTTGGCGATAGCATCTTTGAAGACCTGCTTGGCTGTGCTGAGCAGTCCTGCGAGCTTCCATGGGTACCTCCCCACGTATATGCGGAGCTCCTCCTCTATGCGAGGGTTGTGCTCCTTACCATGGCCACCAACTTGTCCGCTCGTCTGCCCGTATCCCGTCGTGCATTGTGCCGCCACTGTATGTATCGCTGGTACTCATCGGCATCCTCTGCGTTCAACATCAGCCCCATTGTCAGGTTGACATACTTCCGATTCCTCCAGTCATGACGGATAGTCTTCCCGATCCATCTGCCCAGGGGGTTCGTACAGTAGTGATATCCCCTGGTCCGTCCGTCTCAAACCGTACATACTCGCAAAGAGGTCTGCTCTTTCCTTTGCCTTTACCTTTGCCGGGGTCCTTGTCGGAAGTCACCCTCATCCCACGCAGCTTTTCCGCGAGCTTGCATTGCTCCGCCCACGTTGTATTGACCTTTGCCGGTTTGGCGCAGGGATCGCGCTGATTGCCGGTGCTGCACTTCCGCCCTTCTTCCCGTTTGCTAAAGAGCTTGCCATCGTCGAGGTCGTGGTACAGGTAGTGCAAGCAGCTCTCCCCCGGGTCCGCACTGAGGTTGTATGCTCCGGCCCCCTGCTGGCGGGCCACCCTCCGAAGAGGGCCGCGGTCGGGTTTCGGAGGAGGCAATGGGCGTGAAAGGGCCTCTTAAGCAAAGTGGTGTCGGATATATGTGACTCAAGCGCCGCTGTGGCAAACACGCAGGCTCCCCTGGGGCGCACAACCTCTGGCCAACCTTGTGTCTCCCCCCCGATTCGCTTAGCTGGCTGATCCGTCAGTGGACCTACTCATGCGTGCACCCACTCCTCTCCCGACGGGTCTGTCCATCTATCTGCAAATATCTGTGAACCTGTTCTGTCCTTCTCTCTGTCTGACTGTGTCTCTGTCTGTCTTCCTGTTCTGTTGCTCCCATGATCTCCGCCATGGGGACCTCGCAAGCCCTCGTGGCATCGGGGTGGCCTCCTCAACAGTTGTGTGGAGGGGGTCGGGAATCTGCAGACAATGCAGGCAGAGATCGAAAAGGGTCCGCCGTTCCGAGTCCAGTTTTGCTGCATCGCTGTGATCCCTACAGCCGATGCTGTAGCATTGAAACACAATCGCTTGCCCTCATCCCGAACCCTCCATGACAGGAAGGAAGGAAGGAAGGAAGGAAGGAAGAGAGGGACAAGCCAGCGCCGACCCGCAGGTGAACCTCGAGACGCTTCGCCCACTCCTGCTGGAGCAAGCCAGGACCGACACGGCAACAGGGGGAGGGGCACGTGCAGCCAGAAGCCTCCAACCCGAAGCGCCTGCCAGGAAGATCACCAGCGATCTACTGGTCCAATTTTTGCAGCCCTTCCTGAAGGACCCCGATGTGCACGGGTTTGGGACACCGTTTCGCCGGGCACACGCCAGGCTCATGCAGAGGGCAAGTCCGACTACTTCCGGGGCTGCCAGGCTGAGCCAGATCTCAAACCTTCAAAAAAAGTACAGAAGGCAGCAGCGTTCCAGGTGTTGCTTTTTACCCCAAGCAACTAGTTTCCCCGCGACGCAGCATCAGCAAGTTCAACATGGAAGCACCGCTGTTCCAACCACGCTGGATCAAATGGAAAAGGCAAGCGCCAAGCCGCCAAACCACCCGTCCACTCCGAGGTTTCAACGTGCAGCTGGGTGGCGGTCTTCACTGGGATCCATCTGTTGAGAATGGCCTTGCACGTGTGCAGCTCCAGCCTAGAGAGCTTAAGCTTCTGGGCGGGCGAGCTTGGAAGTCCTAACTTGTAGCTGGCATCGGTGGCTCCGGAATGCTGACATATCTTTAAATCTGAATAATCGTCTGATGTGTGCGTTCTCCCTTTTTTCCAGATTTGTTGAGCTGTTGTTGTAGGCCGTGTCGGTGTGAGCTTTGGGGTGGCGACTGGGATGACATTGGATGCCTTGCTAGCCAAGGCTACAAGCAGGATTGGATGATGATGAGAATCCACTGTAGCTCTGCTCGAAATACATAGAGTGTGAGGGCCACCATGTGCTACAATGAAACACATCGGTATTCCAGCCTAGACACCTACCTCCTGGTCGTAGTAGTAAGCGTTCAGCAGATGCGGCCGATAGGGCGGATGGACGTCGCGCTTTTGAAAATTCCCTCGCCAGCCCCTTGCGTGCAAGGTACAGCTTCGCAGAGGCCCCTCTGGAATTAGTGGATGTGCTTGCGCTCCTTGAGCCCCGGCCCATGGCGAGGGTTGGCGTTCTGTGTTGAAGACAGGGGCATGCGGACTTTTTCCGGGGACGGAAGCTTTTGGTACTTTGCATTAGGTCCTGGAGTCGGGGCACGGCAGGCATTTTTTGGGGGCGTGTTCTGAGGAGCTGCTTCCGAAGCTCCCGGCGGAGGGCGAGTTGGCAGAAGTAGAGTTCAAGGATTTCGAGTATGACTCGAATCAAATTTCTTTGGCTCTCGC